TCATGAAGCTTTCCCTCATCATTTCTTATAGAAATTTTAAAGTGTGAGGCCTTATATTTAAGTCTAATTCATTTCATATATGTGCATATATGAAAATTCTAAAAGAAAGAAGAATATTGAAACTGACTATACAGGGGAAGATAAATGATTGTGCAAGGTCTCTGAAGACACAGGATAGAGCACATGTAGACACAATCCTTGAAGTTAGGGAAAAGGTCTTGTTTCTTGATGTGATAGGGAAAGATTGATGTGATTGGGAAAGAGGTGAGGGTGAATGCAAATGCATACAGGTCCCTGACAAGGTGCTGAGGGAGTTCTCATATGATAGCCATTATTATTTTCTATGTAATGGGAGGTGAAATCACTCCTCAATTCTTCCTTCAGTATATAGAAGAGGCCCTGACACAGCTGTAGTAAACTTGTTAATTCTTTTGGGGATGTATGTTGTTTTGGCATAGGCTTGTTTTATATTTTGACGTGTCATGAGCACTGCATGTCATTTTTCCAAGCACTTACTTTCCTAGGAGAGGGAAGGAAGTATTCCATGATCATTCAGTTTTCATTTGACTACTAACTCGTTACATGGCCATGGGGCAAGGATATTTATTTGCTAGATTTTAAGGCATTTTATTGTGTATCATGGCAAAGAGAACACATAGTTCAGATCTTAGAAGAGAATCTCAATGAATCATTATTATTTTAAATGACTAGGATGTACTAGAGAAGTTAAGGAAATAAAATAGTATACCATGTAGTTCAGAATTTTGTAGGATTAAAAAATTATCAGATATTTATTTCCATATCAACACATCTCTTTTCACTTACAACTATGATTTTCTTTGTCCAATGTCTACATTTTTATTTTAAGATAACTTCTGGAGTATGAAAAAGTAAGCTCAGAATGTATGCATTAAAAACTAGATTCTGCCCTAGCCAGTTTGGCTCAGTGGATAGAGCATTGGCCTGTGGAGTGTAGGGTCCCAGGTTCGATTCTCTTCAAGGACATGTACCTTGGTTGCAAGTTCCCCAGCCCTGGTTGAGGTGCGTGCTGGAGGCAACCAATTGATGTGTCTCTCTCACATTGATGTTTCTCTGTCTCTCTCTCTTCCTTCAACTCTCTCTTAAAAGAATCAATGGAAAAATATCTTCCAAAAGTAGATTCTAACCTTTTGCTACCTGAAACAAATAGTTGTGTCTTAAAAATAAAACAGAAACATTACCCAATGGGAAAATTTGAGCAGGAGAAGTGAGGAGGTTTATAATGGATGGATAACTGATTAAAGAAAAAGCAAAGATAGAGTTTCTGGACATCATAGAGAATGAACCTGAAAAGATCCAGGGTGAATAAATAAGTTTCTTTCACTATCCTAACCTAGCACCTAATTATCTTCCATGCTTAACCTATCCTATTCAGATCTAGGCATGCTCAGTAACCTGAAGCAGGTTTTGCTGTATTTTAGAAGCAGATGCACTTAATATTATTTTGGATAATGATAGAATTACAATGATCTTCTATGGAGAAAATATCTGTATTTTCTATATCAATAAATAAAATCACTCCATTATGTCCACTGAAAAGTCTCTTTCTTGAGGTTTGCAAAATACCTTTATCTGCAGTACTGGAGAGCGAGGCAACTCAGTTCTCCCATGAAACACACACTGTCCTCATCGGATGTATCTGGGCAATGAAGTGGAGTTTTGCTCTTCATAGGCAAAGAAACATGGAAATCGTAAGAACTTAGTGATAAATGCCAATGTGGATTTGGGCATGTGGAGTGATTTAGGTTAGCGTTCTTAATCCAAATGTTTAAGCAACAATCCTAACTCTTTCTGGGCTCTTGGACCGGTGTTGTCAAAACATGTGCTAGCATTGTAGGAGTCCAGAGGAGATGAAGTCCGTTGTTCAGGCTGCTAATAGAGAATTTTGCTTAGCTCTGGGCACTGGAAGCTCCATGTTATGGGGACTGGCTGAGCAAGCTTCAGCTTGGCCACTATTGAGTTTGGCTGATTGTATCTCACTCCTCCAGGAACTGAGTAATTTCTTGCTGAAGGGTTTCTACTAGAAAAATTCTCACCTCCCGTAGTTAGTAGGAAAGTTGACTGGCATACCAGTTCCTTGCCTCCATTCAAGGGGGTTCTTGAGCTGGGGGTAATTATTTGAACTGGATTATATGGCTTTTAAAAAACTATTCATCTTTTAAATGATTTTTCTTATTATAGGAAAAACATATGTTTAGAAAAAAGAAAAAAGAATCAAAAAGTAAAGTGAAAACCACCAATAAGCTCACCATCTAGACAAAACACTATTAATCTTTTTGAATTGTATTTTATTCTTTTTCTCATGTATATTTATTTTTACAAAATTGAAATTATACTGTAAGCATAACTTTATCTGTTGATTTTAAACTTAATATTATGTGATAAATATTTTCATATTCTTTACTTACTTCATGAACATTTAATGCCTACATAATATTTTATACTATATAAGCAGCATAAATTATTTAAATATTTCTTTATTCTTGGAAAATAGATTGTTTTATTTTTGTGCAACTTATAAATAATTCTGATGAACATCTTAAGACACAGGGGCTTGTTCACATTTTAAATTATTATTTGAATAGTGTCCTAGACACCCAGAAATGCTGATTTAGAGAGTATGATATTTCTAAGACACTGGATAACTGCTGCAAAATTGTTTTCTAGAGAAGTTGTGTGGATTTGCACGTCCACAGCAATGCATGGGGGAATTTTCCAAACTATGCTCACCTCATGTGTTAACCTCTAATGATCTAATGTAAGGAGTCTCATCCTTCTCCAACTGTATTTCTTGGTTTACTGGTAATTAAACACACTTGGGGGTGTGTGTGTGTTTTTGTTTATTGTTGTTGTTGTTGGTAGTTAATTCTCACCCAAGGATATTTTCCATTGATTTTTAGAAAGAGTGGTAGGGAGGGGGAGAGACACAGAGAGAGAAACATTAATTTGAGAGAGACACATCGACTGGTTGCCTCCCACACTTGCCCCGACCAGGGCCAGGATAGAGTCTGCAACTGAGGTATGTGCCCTAGACAGAAATCAGTCTAAAGGTCTATGCTCTATCCAATGAGCAAAGCCAGCTAGGGCTAACTATTTTTAATGTGCGTGTCATTCATTTGTATTTCTTCCCTGTAATTGCTTTTTATGTGTTCTCTTGCCTTTCTTCCTATAGAGCCGTGGTTGGCAAACTGCAGCTCATGAGCCACATGTGGCTCTTTGGCCCCTTGAGTGTGGCTCTTCCTAAGCCTTAGGAGTACCCTAATTAAGTTAATAACAGTGTACCTACCTATATAGTTTAAGTTTAAAAAAATTGGCTCTCAAAAGAAATTTCAATCGTTGTACTGTTGATATTTGGCTCTGTTGACTAATGAGTTTGCCAACCACTGCTATTCAAATGTTTTTTCTACTGAGTTATGTGATTTATATACATATATATTAACTTATCATATTTTAAAGATATTTTCTTCATTTTATAATTACGTTTTAAATGCAATTTTATTAAAAATAGATATTTATAATTTATATACAGTAAAGTAGTTTGCTCATTTTATGATATTTAAATAACTCTTTAATTAAAAAAACTTTCCTCATTCAGAAATTTTATAACTATTTACTTCTATTTTTATGAAGTTTCAAGTTTTTTCATTGAACTCCTTATATAAGACATATAGATTTAATTTGATATGAATATTGTCAAGATCTAAATAAAAAAATGAGAAATCTTCTTATCTTTTTTGCCTTTTCAAGTTTTTATTTTTATACATTTTTTGTATTAACAAAGAAATACAAAGGACTAAAGCAGACTAGAATAATGAATGAATCAGCCTTGAAAGCAGATACTATCAATAATATTACTGTTGTAATACAAGTTCATTCAAGTATTTTACATTGTTTGTCCTTTTTTAAATGTTATATCCTTGCACATGGTAAGATAGTGTACTATGAGCATAAGGTGGAACCTTCTCTGCAAAGCCAGATAACATGTTTTTCTCTTCAGTGAGAAATGGGCTATAAGTTCCTATCTTCTCTGACGCTGTCATCAACATGGTTGAAGGAGATGATGGGGTTGGGGCAAGTCCAGGGACCCTCCACATAGAAGAGACTATGGGGTCCCACTCAGGAGGGTTCCAGATGATCCAGACTGCTCTACCCAGGCTTTTGCCACAAAACCAACCCTCCCTAGCTAGTCATCTTCCTTGCCCTCCCTCTCTCCCCCCAATTCTAGGGCCTTCTGAGCAGCTTACATTCTTTTCTAAATCAATCATCAGGGAAAGGATGGGAAGCTACAATTGAACAAAACACAACAACTATGACATGTGGCTCAGCACCTTGATCTGAGCCCCCGGGTCCAGGCTGGGGCAGGGCCCAGCAGCCCCTTTCTACAGGTAGTGCATCTGCTCCCAGGTTCAGGAGAGGGTGAAGGAGAAACCTACCCTGAGCAGGGCTGAGCCACACAGCCCTTCTGTGGTGTTTATTGCCCAAAGTTGTGTTGGCATGGGCCAATCCTGGGAGGATACAGGATGAAGAGAAGGGTCTGGGCAGGCTGTTGCTTTGTGTCTCAGATCTTGGATCCTCAGGAGAGGAAGGTGTGTGTGAAGTGGCAAACTCTAAAGGCCCCTGCCACGCTTGGCATGCGTGGCACAGATACATCAATCCTAAGTTCAAACATTTCCAGAAAGTGAAGATATAAACTACGCTTTGCAACAGCAACTCCTAATATGTTAGCAAAACAAAACAAAACAAAACAAAACAAAAAAAAACCCAAAACCCAAGAAAACAAAACAGAAAAAGAAAAAAAGTCTCCTTTCTCCCCATCCTCAGCCTATGTTGAGATGAAATCCTCATCTCAAAGGGGCTTCCTCTTTCCGGGGTGTCCGTGGGGTGGGATCAGGAAGAAGATGGCAGCCCTTGGCCTGGGAATAGACTCTAAGCAGAACAGCCTCTCCCCACACCCACAAGGCTTCCTTGTGCCCCAAACCCAGCAGAGGACAAACACTGAGGTTTCTGTGGTGCTGGATACAATAAGGGCTGAGTGACATGAAGCAAAGGGGAGATACAGCAAAAGAGACAGGGGTGCTGCGCCCATTGTCTGGTACAATGTGGGCAGGCACCAGACCGGGCAGGGCAAGGCCACAGATCCTGCTGCCAGAGTGGAGATCAGACACTCATCCATGGCTTTTGAGACAATTGGGTCACAGGAACTAAGATGAGTTTCCCAACATACTAACCACTGGGAGGGCAGAGATGAGGGTGCAGGCCAAAAGCAATGAGGTGCCCAAGGCAGAGGCAAGCTCTTGCTAGCCTAGGATACTGTTCCCTA